AAACCATTGTTCATAAGAATGCATGTCCTCCGTGTTAAAGATCAGATCAGAGGAACGAACTGTGGACCTCTAAAGTTGTAAACCTAAATCCAAATTTATCTCAGTATTTTTCTGGAAAGTATATAGGGATTCAATGGAAAAATCAATGGAAATAAAATCAAGTCTGCATTGTTATAAGAGTCAACAGGTAAAGTCACTCTATAATTCCGTCAGTTTATTTTCTGATAAACTTAAACTAATGATAACAAAAGGAGTACAAGAGATTTTAATGTTTTAATAAGATTTTATTTGAGCAAATGGCAAAAATATTAGAGTTACTAATTATAGTATATATTACACCAAGTCACCGATAAGAGGGAATAACAGGGAATGAATGGAATGTAATCTAATCTTAGGAATCAGGTGACATTTTTAAACTGTCTGATCTTTACCCTTCCGGTTTATGACAGCATCATTAGATTATAGCTTTACTTCTCAGTCTAAAGTATCAATTATTTCTACCTAAAGTGATCAGCATTTTATAGAGATCATATTTTATATCATTCTTCACGCAATGCTGCATTGAAATTTATAGAGGTGCATCAAATAGAGTAATACTGAGGATTTTGGTTATTCAAAAACATCTATCTGCTATGGGTCACCTTAGTTATGGTGGAATCTGTAGAGTACAACCTGCTATCTCGTTCGTAACAGAGACTGATCTTTTGTACAGGTTATCTTTGAGTACTGTCACGCACTGTAGACACGTGAATGGAAAAAAAATCAAGTTTGCATTGTTATAAGAGACAACAGGTAAAGTCAGAAAGAGAAATATACTTTGACCTTGACTGATTGGACTTGAATGTTCAATGTGCAGAGGTTTGGGTGTGTTGCCACGTCACCAGATTGAGTAAATGTAAACATTTAACTTCTGAATGTTTCTTTAACTGTCAACAAGCCAAATCAAACTAGCCTTACAAATAGAGATGAAGAATAATTTAGGTAAAGCGTTTGATTTTAAAACTATTTCAGTACCTTATCATGTTGTTGAGACACCTCAAAGCACTTCACAGGATTTTACTGTGAGGTGTCGTGTCTGTGTAGGTGAACATGGGCAGCCAAGCCAATTTGCACGCAGCAATATCCTACAAACAGCCATGAAGCGAATGATCGATTTTATCTGGGTGATCATTAGCCAGTAACACTGGATGAAACCTCCCTTTTTCTTTTCAACTCGAGCCATGGGATCTTTAACATCCACTTGACCGGGCAGGCAGGACTTTAGTTTAATGTTTCATTTGAAGGACAGCACCTCCAACAATGTAGCATGCTTTAACACTACTTTGTAGTGTCGGTTTAGACTGTAAGTTCGAAGTCCCAATGTGACAGTTGACCCCGTAACCTTCGGTGGCATATCAACTTTATATATATAAAAAACACTGAGTCAGGCGAATATAGTCATCAGCAGCTCTGTAATCTGCTGTTAGTCTGGTGTTATTGAAAAGTAAAATATCCAAATTATTTCTAGATCAAACCTCATCCTAAACATGAATATGGAAACCGCATTTCTGTGGTTGCGTTCAAATTTGGTGTTGCAAATAGGTTACAGTATTCTGTCTCCATAGGATTGTAGTCAACTCATTACAAATGCCTCTCATTGGCCTTATGCTGAAAGGTAAGAACTTAATTTGTAAACAATATACATACCTAAAATTAAACTTTTACAATGCTCTGTACAATAAACGTTCCTTATTCGTAAAGAAATCAAACGAGTTATCATTAGCACTAGCATGAAAAACTCAGTATCTTATTTAATCAATGGGTTTTAATTTTGTTTTGGTTAGTCAGTTATCTTACACATGCAAAAACCTATCACTAAACTTAAAATGTATCCAAACCAACCTGAACGTTTCACAGATATATAGCACCTACATATGGAAACTTCACTGTGTCTGAAAATGCAATGCATACGCTCTCCCTGGATGAATGTACCCTGGAGAGTATTAAATGCCGATTGGCAAGAGCCAAGAATTGGGGAGTCCAGAGTGTACATTGGGATGCTGATGGGATTTAACGAGCTACCAACGCATAGCTTGCCATTGAGAGAACAGGCTTGCCATTGTGTACTTGCCTGGCTAAATAGGATTTAAAAATTACTTTGTGTAATTTAAACTAACTGTATATAACGCTATAGACTTTTGAGAAGGTAAAAGCGTTTAATAAGTAACCGTGGCCTGACAAATTAAATTCTTTAACAGGTTTTAAACAGGGTGATTAAAATATGATCCAGCAATGGGTAGTTGAGTAAATAAGATACTAATCTTTTCAATGAGAGGCATTTGTAAAATTGCATCTGCGTTTAGCATTGACTGAAACTACAGCATAAGAATTGACTATCTGGAAATGAAAGGCAATAATTTAATTCTAAATCCTCTTTGACAGTGGAAAGGAGCCTAAAAGCAATTGTTATTGGTGACCTTCCCTCAAAATAATTTGAAGAGACAAAATAAAAGTTTGAATATCATTCATTTTAGAGAAAGAATAAATGTACTACAGTATATTTATTTAATTAAAAGTCCATCAGAAAGATTAAAAAATGGTATCATAATCCTGAAATAGAACCTCTGCAGCAAAATGTATAAAACACAATCTTTTAAATTTAATTGAAACACTTAAGAAATGTTCTGCAGTCACTTTTATGTACTCGTTCTCTTGTGTTACATTCTGCAGCTAGGTTGACAGGCTGTCCTTTCCGATAAAAAATATGTGTACAGTAGTTTGAAAATTGCAGACTGGTTAGTATTCAATGGCTTTACATTTGCACAATGATTTCTGGAACAGTGGTATGTCAAAGCACAAACATTGTCATCCTGTTAAATGTCTGCTTATTATAAAACACCCATTGAGAAAGCACAGGTGTAGATAAACAGTATCACTAATGTTATAAGATAATCAACACTAAGTCCTTTTGCTAGAATCTGAATCTGTTTTCATGAAGAAAACCTAGTTAGAGTCCATAAAAACACTTAAGGAGGTATTTGCTTGTTGTAAAACAAGGGACTATTTTATTCAGAAGTTGAATTTTTAAAACTAAAAATAATTCAGTGCCAGTGCAACTCATAGGGGAAATATCACAGTGGATAAATATAACACAGACTGCTCCTTTACTAACCTGACATTTTCTCCATCCTTCCTCTCTTTTAGCGTTAAACATTTCACACACTTTGAGCCTCTGATCAAGAAGACCCTGTTCACATACTTTAATGTCAAAGGTAAGGGTTACGTATGGAGGACTGAAAGACATTGTTGACATAATGGCAAGATACATCACAGAATTTACAAAAGAACTATTAAAGGCTTCATCAAAGTTTTGTTTGCATGGATAACAAAAAAGTAATTTCACCCATCAAACATACTTCTTTAAACAGACAATGGAAACTATATACCATCAAATACTTCACCTCGCTCAATTTCTTAGGACTGCATACATATTTCCTGGATTCCAAAAACTGAAAAATATTCATCAATATCTGATCCAATGGCATTAAAAGCTTATGTCCTATGAAGTAACTGCTCATCTTAGTCCGAATCTATCCCCATAATCTTCAAATACTGTTCTCAAACAGAAAACTACCAATTATTTTTGAACAAATCTGAATAGAAACTTTAAGCCAGAGAAACAGTTTCTTGAATTGATCCCAATAAGAACACATTAAAACCTTATATTGCTACGTGGTCATCCAGGTAGGGTTGACAATGTTGGGAGTGTTTGTGAGGTTCATTAGAAGGTAATTCTATTCAGCACCGTCAGAACCCTATTCTGTTTTGCAAAGCACCTCTTCCAGTTTGCCAATACTATTGGATCAAATCGATGCTACATTAATTGCTTTTGATTGGTGTCCAGTTGTTAAATCCACTATCCAGTGTGTCCAGAGTGGCACAGACAAGCTGCAAGGTCTTAAGGGTGCTATATAAATGCAAATTATTTGTGTTTTTTTTAAAACTATGTCTCTGTTGAGCTGACTGAGCTCAGCTCATACATCAATAAGAACATTGCAATTGGCCTCAGTGTCTCTGGGTTGGGGAGAGGGAAATCAACAACAACAACTTGCATTTATATAGCTCCCTTCTCGGTAGTTATTTCTCAGAGTTCCTTATAGAGGACAGTGCTGGACACTGAGGTGTGGGGGAGTGGATAGGAGGCAGATAACCTTTAGCCCAATGGAAGAGGTATATTTTTAGACCACATTCGAAGACATATAGAATGACAACCAGAAGGAGATTTCAACACCCCACATCTCCCCATGGTCAATATGTATGTCATCACTGACTGCATAGGATCAGGTTAAATAAGTATATGTATAGAACAAGTCCATTGGCTCAAAAAAATGCCCTATCACTGATGTGCAAGATAAATAAACCCAATTCAGCATAAATTATTCATGAATAGTGATTTATACTTGTATGCGTACATATATACATACATACATATACCAATATATATATATATATACATACATAATGATCCAGGAATGCTACCAGGTTCGGTTATTATAAGAATTACTGTTAAGATTTGGTTTGTTCATCGGATGATTTGGAAATAGTTGTCAGTTGGGGCGTTTCTTTGGTGTTTCGGGGCAACTCATGTAGTCCTTACAATGTTGAAATGTTTAAACTTCAAAAGAACAAATCTGAATAGGAACTTTAAGGCAGAGAAACAGATTCTTGAATTGATCCCAATAAGAACACATTAACGTGGTCATCCAGGGTAGGGGTGACAATGTTGGGAGTGTTTGTGAGGTTCGTTAGAAGGTAATTCTATTCAGCACCTATTTTGTTTTGCAAAGCACCTCTTCCAGTTTGCCAATACTATTGGATCAAATCGAATCCATACGTTTACTTTCGGGGAAAAAAAAACCGAGGACAAATAAATAGGTGACCGCCTAGTTAACCCTTGAACACATTCTCAGTTGGTTGAAACACTCCCTGAAAGCATTGCACATGTTGTGATTTATGTGCATACATTGCAGGGAGTTATTGTTTAATAATCAATGCGATTCGGAGTGTTCTTTTGATCTATTCCCTTCCATTTCCGATGGATGGCCTTTGCAGTCGTTCTCCAAACCCTTGAGTGTGATGGTGCAGGATGTGCAACCCTCTCGCCAGTGTCCGGCAGTGAGATTCCTCCTCCCTGACCCCGGCTCGCCTCTCCGTCTCGGTATCTCCATGTGTGCTCGGCTGATGATGTGGATGTGATAAGAAGGGCTCTCTCTGTGTGGCTCATGGACAATCGCCATCGCTCTTCCTGGGGACGGCTCAGACTCAGACTCGCCAGATCCCGTGTCAGCTGCCACCGCCAGCAGCTCACACAGAGCTGTGATCCCCCCACACCACCACCAACCGAGAGCCGAGCCTTTTCTCAGCAAAACACAGCCCCAACACCTGGCTGACCACGTAGCTCAGACCCCCCCACCGAAGCTGAAGCCGACCCCGGGACCGAGGACACGACATCCAGGTGGACTTTATCCTCTGAAGGTAAGGGATAGTGGTTGCGCTTCGCCACTGTTGTCTAATTTCCATTGCACCGGTTAAACCACACAGCGCACAGCACCGGGTGGTCGGCGGTGTGTGTGTGTGTGGGGGGGGGTTTAAGCGCTAAATAAAGGTCAATATCGACTGGACGCTCTTCCATCAGTTTAAGCCGAACGCAATGTATCGATGATCGATCGGGAAATCGCGTTTAAAACCCCCCACAATCTGTGCCACACTGTTTGTCAAGACTAAGGCAGCGGCATCTGTTAACTCTCGGCTACAAAAGACATCGGGGATGGGGTGGGGGGTGGGGGGGGGGGGAGAGGCGAATATTAAAGTTTTGGACAGATTGTGGCAAATTCCTGTACAAAACCCTCTCCCCAACCATCACACACACACACACACACACACGCACGATCCCTATTTTTCTTTATTTAACCGTTGCTGTGTTGCGGTGGGGGTCGCAAAACCACACTCGCGTTTTAATCATCAACTCCCCCCCCCCCCCCCCCTTGTGTTTCATTGACAGCTCTGGGATCGAGATGGTTTGAGCAGAGAAAGAGAGAGACAGAGAGAGACTCTCTCTCGACTGAATTATCTTTCCTTCTCGCTCTCCTCGCGAACCATCTGTTTTCTTCCAGAAAAAAAAATACCCCCCCCAAAAAAAAATTTTTTTTTAAAAATAAAATAAAAAGGGGAACCGATCAGCTGAGCTTCCTTCTGGCTCCCCCCCCCGCCAGTCACCCCCAAAAAAAGCCTGTGGGTAAAATCGTGCTCGAGTGTCTCTTCAAGCTGATCCTGGTGAAGTGGTGGATAGTAATTTTTTTATCTATCTATCTATCTATCTATCTATCTATCTATCTATCTATCTATCTATCTATCTATCTATCTATCTATCTATCTATCTATCTATCTATCTATCTATCTATCTATCTATCTATCTATCTATCTATCTATCTATCTATCTATCTATCTATCTATCTATCTATCTATCTATCTATCTATCTATCTATCTATCTATCTATCTATCTATCTATCTATCTATCTATCTATCTATCTATCTATCTATCTATCTATCTATCTATCTATCTATCTATCTATCTATCTATCTATCTATCTATCTATCTATCTATCTATCTATCTATCTATCTATCTATCTATCTATCTATCTATCTATCTATCTATCTATCTATCTATCTATCTATCTATCTATCTATCTATCTATCTATCTATCTATCTATCTATCTATCTATCTATCTATCTATCTATCTATCTATCTATCTATCTATCTATCTATCTATCTATCTATCTATCTATCTATCTATCTATCTATCTATCTATCTATCTATCTATCTATCTATCTATCTATCTATCTATCTATCTATCTATCTATCTATCTATCTATCTATCTATCTATCTATCTATCTATTATCTATCTATCTATTATCTATCTATCTATCTATCTATCTATCTATCTATCTATCTATCTATCTATCTATCTATCTATCTATCTATCTATCTATCTATCTATCTATCTATCTATCTATCTATCTTACCGTAATTTTGCAATCCCTTCGCAGAGTAATTAATTAATCCCCACACTCTCTTCACGACCCTCAGCAAACATTTATTTGCCGATTGAAGGTATACACAAAAAAAATTGCAGAAATGTTTTTAGGAACGTGGGTGAGATATTTTCTTCTCCATCAGATTTGGTAGGTTTGGCTGATGTGTGTGTGTGAGTGTGTGTGTGTTTGGTCGCCTTGAATAAAATGACATCGTGTGTGGGTTCCGTTGTTGTTATCGTTGCAGAATGACAGAAGTTATGAGCAGCTGCGAACCTGCGATGGAGGATTTTACTTTGAACCAAGCCACAGAAGGAGGACTCTCCTTTCAGGTAATCTTGGGGAGGGGGGAGAGAGAGAGGGGGGAGAGGGAGTCAATGCAATCAGTCAATTATACGGTCTTCGCCTCTGTCATATCAGTCTTTATTTGGCGACTCAGATTGACAAAGTGTCAGAACTATTAGGAGTGACGGTGTGTTATTAACACCTATGAAGGTTATCGCCTGTATTTCTGATGGAGCCGTTTAATTTTGTGTCTTCCTTCCAGACATATGGCGTGGGGAAACTATAATTCCCCGGTGTACATTTCATCACATCATTAGACCGGTATAAATTATGAGAGCAATAAGAAAATGACAACTTCATCTTTTAAGAACAATGTATGTCCTTTCCCAGCCTTCAAAAGCGCTATATCAAATGCAAGGATTATTACTATTATTATTATTGGTTTCACAAGCATTCTGGAGCAATCTGAGCCTGGTGAAGATGTTTTTATTTATTTATAATTTAACTTGTAATTACATCTTGTAATTGAGTCGTGGAGTCCTGTAGCTCAGTGGTTAGAGCACTCGCTTTGCAAGCGAGAGACCCGAGTTCAATCCCAGGCAAGGTGAAACCTTGGGCAAGTTTCCTTACTCCACACGCCTAATAATAATCCCTCCAAAACTAAAAACAATAATAAATTGGTCATTTTCAATCTACGACTGTTTGTGGGGCATTGCTGTGCGCAATTGGCTGCTGCGTTCGCCCACAAATATGCAGTCAATTCACTTTACAGTGTGTTCTGTGAAGCGCTTTGGGACGTCCTCCCGACGTGAAAAGCGCTATATCAAATGCAAGGATTATTATTATTATTATAACTGTTTATGTGCTCTTTCTACTTAGACTGATGCTTATCGTCCTGACTTTAACGTAGACTTTTAGTCATCTAAGTTGTCATTCTGATTGTGATAGTATTAAATGGTTATAAATATACACTTACTGGTGATGCCTCCCATGTTTGGCATTAAACCTAAACCCAAAGAATGCAAAGAATGAGATGGTGATGTTCTGCACTCCACTCTTCCTGAAAAAAAAGTAAAGTTTACAAAAACTATGTGCTCCAGTAAGAGAACGAATGGGAACAGCTGTCCACAGTTACTATCTCCCTTCACAGTGCCCCTGAAACACCGAGACATGGAGGAGGAAAAAGGTTGCAGTTTCATAGAATGTCTCAAAGTAATTATTGTCAAGGTGCAGTGACTGTGGGCAAACACAACAGCCATTTTGAGCACAACAAAAGCGCCTAACTAGCCGCCTAGCCACAGGGTGAATTGCCAATTACTGTACACAGAGCGTTGTTGGCTGGGAAGCTGGTTGAGTTTCTATGAGTTGAGACTCAGAAAGTGTTAAAGCACAGAAACAAGCCATTGGGGCCATCAAATCTGCCTTGATATTTTTCTTCACATCAGCCCCCTAATTAAATCCCACTTTCCTGGTTGCTCCCTACAAGCCTTTATTTTTTTCCGTTTCAAGCATATGAATTCAAACGTCTGGTTTATATTTGTAAAGAAAACTCAAGGTAAAACAGAAATTGGGCAGTACAACTCCTATCCGAACCAATAAAACATCGCAAATCTTGTCTGTTTGAAATAAACAAAATGCATTTTCATTCTGAATGCTCTAGATGTGGACATTTGACCATGTTGAGGTCTATGGTGCTGGGGAAAAGGCATCATGTTATTACCTGTTTCCAATGGAAGTAGTTTTAACATAATTAATCAAATAGTGTTGTGACAGATGGGAAACTGCTTACCTAGACACAGTGTTTTCCAAATGGCTTGAGGGGAGGGTGGAGATTGAAAAGTTGTAGCCATCGAATCATAGAATTATACAGCTTAGAAGGAGGTCATTTGGCCCATCGTGTCTGCGCCGGCTTTGAAAAGAGCTGTCCAATTCAATCCCACTCCCCTGCTCCCTCTATCTCTCCCCATAGCCCTGCAAACTTGTGCTCCCCAAATAATTATCGACTTCTCTCTTAACAGCTATCATCTACTTGGCTTCCACCACCCTTTCAAGGCAATGCATTCCAGATCCGAACAACTCGCTGTGTAAAAAAAATTTCTCCTCACCTCCTCTCCGTTTCTTTTAACAACCATTTTAAATCGGTGCCCACCGGTTACCGACCACCAGCCAAATAGTTTATGTTGTAACGTTAGAACATTACCTTTGGGGATTAAGGAGCATTTTAATAGACTCCCTGAATCAACCATGCAATAGTTGTGGGAACTGAAATAATAGGTTTTGCAACGGTTATGGAACAATCAGCCTTGACGGGCCAAAAAGGTATTTCCTCATCGTATTATTATTTGAGATAAACAAAATAGAAAAAGGTACTTTTTTTAAAAAAAAATAAGAATGTGACACAGTCGAAACGTGTGAAACAACAAAGTAGTGAAGGGGTGGGAGCGGGTTCTGTGTTCCTCTCTAACTCGCTGCTCGGGGGTGGGGTGTGGGGGGGGGGGGGTGCGGAAGTTTTTTTTCTTTTTGGTTCCCAAAAAAAAAGGAATGGAATAACTTCCCCCATCAAGAGTGGTGGGACACGTCGAAGGCGCAGCCATTGGCGGACTCAATGGCCGCTGGTGAATGCGTGGCGGACGCGTACGCGGGACACGCTCAAGTCTGGTGTGGGCAGACTTGGGTCCGGCTTGGACGCAACCAGCACGGACGGGACCCGCCACCCAAACTACTTGCTGTGTGTAAAATGGAAGTCAGTTAAAACCTCTTACGTTTCAGTTGGGTCGGGGTCTGGCTCTTGGGCTCCTGGGTCCCCATCAACTGCCATGTCTACTTGGCCCCGCCTCCCCTCGCGCGTCACTCCACGAGCAGACCCCGCCCCACTCCGCGCTCGCGCGCGCGCGCCCCTCTCCCCCCCACCCCCCGCCCTCAAGGCGGGGCCGGGAGCGGACCAATCAGCGGCTTCCCAGCCCGGCACGTGACACCCCCGGCGCGCTCGAGCGTTTGCAGTTCAACCGTTTTAACGGTCCTGAGCGAGGGGTCGGCGCGGCGGCGGTTGGTGGGTAACCCACTGGTAAGTCGGGTCTCTCACCCATGTTCACCTCAGCTCTCCCTCCCCATCCCCTCCAAAAAAAACCCTCAGTGGGGTTTGAATCGACTGTGACGGTTCCCCCCACAAAATATACAGTCAGTTAATGCACTTTACAGTATATTCTGTGAAGCGCTTTGAGAAATATTATTATTATTACTATTAGTATTACAGCAGCAGCAGCAGCTGCTACACCTTTTGCCAGAGTTTAAATACCAAATTAAGGCACTTCGGTATAGTATTTAAATACTTAATGAAGAACAAAATACTGTTGATGAAACGCCAGAAAATGGGAGCGAGTTGAAACGTACATACAATTCCCCCCTCAAAAAAGCAACACCCCAATGATTCACACTTTGGGATTTGGCTTCAAGACTTTATTTCAAGCTCTTGTGGTAAAGGGAAAACCTGAGCGTTTTCCTATCGACTCCTCATGGATGAAGCTCTCAGAAGGGAAGAGCACGTGTTATGGTTCGGGGGTAAAACGAGGGTAAAACTCTCGACGTTGCAGTTGTTTTCTTTGACGTGATGTGAGGATTCAGCATTGTTAATAAGCAACTGGTGTTTACTTACTTATTCACGGTGTCAGTCACCTGTATCCTCTGGTTTTAAACTGAGGAAAGTAACTTCTTAGACGTTTCACCACATTCCTCTTGTTGCTAATTGCAGCTACATTTGCCTTATGTCGCTCTAATAAGGCCACTCACTGTAGCTCATCGCAGAAATGGTGTGACAGGAGGTACTGGTGTGACTTACTGGCAAGACAAGATGGGAACTGGGAATCAATTTGAGGAAGGTCACCCAGACACGACTGAATTAGGCCCCGAGATGCAATCTGTCCGATTTGTCTTTCTATTCCTCACTAAACAACAAGAACATTTATAAGAACTTCATAAAACGAGATGAGTTAAGCAAAAGCATGCCATCGGTCACCCCCCATCCCCTCCCCTCCCTTATCCCTCCCTGACCCCAGCTCGGGTCTGAAATGCTGTACACTGTCCAGCGCCTTGGGAAGTCCTTCCAACATGAAAGGCACAACACAAATGTAATCTTGTTGTTGTTGTTGGTACCTCACATTCTCTGGTCCAAGGTTTCTGAAGAGCTGTAATTTGATTCATAAGCATTAGAGGGAGTTTATTCCTTCCCTCCCCTGGACAAAATGCAAATACTGTATTATCATATTGGTGAACATAGCTTCTTTCAGAGAATCCAACATTAATGTGTTGAATGCATGTGTTCAACATCCAAAAATAATATATTTAGTATTTGAGGTAAGCAAGTATTGGGGCATCAACTACCTGGCATACACAGCCCAGATGCTTTTTTCTATTGTAAATCCAAACAAATGAAGCTGCCTTCATCTGTTGAATACAGAAGAAAACATTTGTTTGAAGTTATCAAATTGATTTAGAACTTTCAATTTACTGGGTTATGAAGAATAATCGAGGATACAGTGGATAATTTGTGTTCCATTGTAATGCATCCAAATGTATTAGAAACTAAAATGAATAGCATGTTCATTTTAGTGAAGATGATGAGATTCAAGTACAATATTTACAGAAAAAAGCAAATACTTGCAAATATTAGTGTAATGTATTGTATCAAATGAAATTAGATACTCATTTGATTCCATGAACCACTACATTCAACAGTCTGACTACTGGATATTCAATATGATTTGTTGTGAACAGGTTATTCATCTACAATTACATCCATTTTAATTACACGATTATATGGATTCTGCATTGAATAAAATGACAATGTATGATGTTTAGACAAATCATCCATTCTATTTATGATCATCGTCTGTCAAATAGGATCAGTTTATACTTTAAATATAAAATATAAAAGTGTTGAACCCAAATTGTATCCATTCTATTCCTCAAGGATTATTTTGTTTTAGCAGTGGTAATTGTGAAAATAAACTAAATATCTAAAATCAAAATTAAAAAACAGGTTCAGACAAGGATGAAAATGTTTACTGTAATATTGTTTTATTTTAAATGTTTAAATTACATTTTTACTATTAATTCAAGTATGTACCTATACCTACTTACAGTCACTATACTTTACAGTAAAATTCTTTGAGACACTTTGACATGTTTCAACAACATAAGATACTACAGCAAATATTTTTGTTAATAGTAATGTGCTTGCAAAACATTAATAGGCTGTAATGTAGTCTAAAACCATCCAAGATTAAAAAAATCACTTAATCTTATCCCTCACTGTTTTTAAACCCTGCCCCAATTATCTCATACATTACTTGGCAAAGAAGGTAACAGGCAATTTGTTTCTTGGTCTCTGCCAACCCATTCAACTTTTCTCTCCAATCATATCTGCTGTGAGTGGTAATCATGCATGAAGGTGAAAGCCCACATTCTCTCTCCCTTAGTTACAGGCACTTTCCTTACCCACATTTACTTCCTTGTGAAAAACTATTATCCTATGATTTGACAATGAATTAGATAAATAGCATAATATAATGCTATTTTTACAAAGATTATAAAGACTGTACAGCATGGAAAGAGGCTATTTGGCGCAGCCAGTCTGTATCAGTATTTATACTCCACAAGTCTTCACCCACTTCTTACATGATTTGATCCTACCACCTCTTCAGGCAGTGTGTTCCACAATCTCACTACCCTCTGCATGAAGTAGTTCCTCTAAATTTCCTTTTAAATCCCTTTTAAATATAAGAACTATCTTATATTTGTCCCATGGTTGCCGACTCTCCAGCAAAAATAGCCAATTCATGTTAACCTTATTGAGCCCATTTATAATTTTAAACACTTCTATTAGGTCCCCCCTGAAACCAGCTTAACCAGCAATATAATTTACAAAATAAACATTCTTTATAGCAGGTTTAGAGATAAGTGTAAATTGCAGTGCTGATTAATATGCAACTTTTTTTTTAAAAAACAGATATTTCCTGATCCACTTGAGAAATCTGAAAGGTGTCCCAAGATGACAAAGAGATTGCCATCAATTGTGGTTGAACCAACAGAGAGTGGAGAAGTTGAGAGTGGAGAGCTGCGATGGCCACCTGATGAAATGAACCTATTGGAAGATGATGAGAACGAAATTGAATCAACTTCTAACCTACCAGATCAAATGGATAATAAAGGTATACATGCGCATCTTTTGCAGTTGCATTTCTATATCTAGATATTTACATTTCAACTAACAATATGAATGAGAGAATAACTGATTGGCAAAAACAGAAGATAACATTATAAAATGATACAGGTATGAGTGAATTGTATGGCCTGTTTTTATAAAAGCAAAATGGATAATAAAAAAGCCAATCTGTTGCTTTTCATGTATTTTTAAACTAATTAACAATGGAGCAAAATTACAACATTATATGAATCACCAAAATTACAAACAATAATGGAATTACTTCCCATGGAGCATCAGTATTTAAGTGTTGATTCATGGCACACCTCAAGCTGACTGAACCTATTGCCCTATGAAGTAGCACTCACTAAAAGTTCCATGGCTTGCAATGGTGGAGATCAGAGTCTTTGAGTGAAGTTGGTTGTGGGCGGGTGAGAATCAAACCCAGGTCCTCTCGCTTGCGAGGCGAGTGCTCTAACTACTAAGCAACAGAACTCCATTGATAGTAATGAATATCATTACATGTTGCATTTTTCACCCAATGTATCTAAAGTGTACAGAGACATTTAAATAGGACTGTTAATAGTTCAGAGTAAGGATGCTATAGTTTGAACGTTCAAAATTTAAATGTGAACAAAAACAATCATTAAGAAAAATATATGTGGAAGAAACCAAGTTAGCATTTTGACTTATATTAGTGATTTTCTGGAAGGATAATGTGATTTAAGTCCAGTAAGTCACACTGAGCAGGACTAAATATTGCTGCCTCTGTCAGAACCAAATGAGGAATTAGGGTTGATATTTTTGGCTCAGCAGTTAACACGACAGCTGATGCCTCAGGTCATTTAAGTGCACCTAAGTGGAGGTGTTCAGGGAAGCCTTCTAGACTACTTCAACAAACCTCTTCATATTACTTCACAGTACAATCAAATTCCCCTATTTCTGCTCAAGACTTCTAGGTTGGACAATATTTGATTTTTCTGAATATGAATGAATTATTTCTTTCTTCCCTGATTCCCAGTGTTCTTCAGGAGATTTAGGCAAAATGAGTGATGAAGATTACGTTAACCCGATCCTGGCTTTCAGTAATGCTAATCCAGAGGAAGGACCTAGTTTCCAAATGACAGCCTGGTCGTTATAAGGAATGGTTTCTTAGTGGCAGTTCCTTCAGTTTTCAGGAAGTCATTTGCAAATCAGCCTTGTTGAATCAACTTGGAAAATTTGTTTTAACCATGAAATTCCTGTTTTGAAGCATCCCTAGCACTTGAACCAGAGTTTCAGCCGTCTACACATGGTGGCAAATGCTGAATTTAATAAATGTTTTCATGATTTTTTCATGGAATTGATCTCCAGATTTCTTAGCATGAGCACAGAAAGAAAATACCACTCATTCTTTGATTTTTTTCTTGGGATTTATTCTTGACAAAATGATCTGTGCTCCCTTTAAGTCACTGAGCTGTTTTGAACACAAGTTCAAGTCACAGGGAAAAAAACACTTTTGGAACTGACTTCAGCTTGTAGGATAAACTTGTAGCACAAAGATCCTTAACAAATCATTACCTAAATAAAAGTTAGCAAAATTGATAGTGGAGTAAGTGCTCAACAGTTAGGACCACAGGACCAGAAAATGTTCAAGGTTAGTTGAGGGACTTTTCACCCTACTGGGTTAGCATATACCCTGTGAGCAACCCAAAGAGTAAGGAGTTAATGAGTAACCCAACCACCTCTATAATGAAAATCATTGTTATCCTACTTTGTAAAACATTATGAGGTTAGGGACAAATGGTGGAGAAATAGGATGATTTTATAAACGTGGTAAAACAGACTTGACGGACTGAATTACCTAATCCTATTCTGATATTATCCATATGATACTCATTTTGAGCTACAAGTTTACTTTTAGGTCACTGGAAAAGTAAGAACATTTTACACAATAAGGCAGTTATAGCCTAGATTTTGTTATTCTGGAGAGAAAGATCTGGATTAATCATGGAATTATGTCTCATTTCACTGCTGTCCATATAGAAGTAATGTTTATTCTATTAATTCCAGATACATCATCAACAATAGAAACCAACAGAAAGAAATGCGAGAAAAGACAATCAGAATCCTCTAAAAGCAGCAGCTAAGAGCACATACGATCTGACTGGAACCCCACTGTGAATGTTTTGTCACAGATTGGAACCTGGTGGAGAGCTTCAGAATGACCTGAGGCAATGAACTGGTTTTCTTAAGGCTTCATCTGAATGTTTTGCAGTTACTTGAATTTCAGTCATCTATAGAAAATATGGTGGTTGATGTTGCATAATTGATGGTACTGTTTATCTGTCTGTGACTTGGACATTAAACTTTATGCTCTTATTTCACCAATAATGTCCTGAGTTACCTATATAACTACAGGTATCGTAGCTGCCTTTACTATTCTTCCAATTCAGTCTAAAAACTTTCTAATCTCCAAATATTACTTACAACACAATTTACAGGATAAAGGAGAAATATCTAAGAGAAAGTGAAATTATTTAAGGTGATGTGAAAAAGCTGATTATGCTAATTCTGCTATTAAAATGCACATTCATGCTCTAGGATAAGAGTTTAGAAAAGGCCAGAGGCAAAATTATTTATCTCCTGCAAGTTTGTATTAAAATATTGATTCATGAGACGGACGCTCATGGCTAATGTGTATCTTTTTAGTCAACAGGAAATTTTGAATACTTGCAACTTCTCAACACAGACCTGGGATCAAATCAAGGATTCTCCTGATCTATATTGCTCAGTAACAGACTGAGCAGTACATTTACACATTGAGGCAAAAAAGGGACAAATGTTACAATTTATGCCAAAATGACATTGTTGTGCGCAAATTGGCTGTTGCATTCGTCTGCAAAATTCGGTCACTGCATTTTACAGTAAATCTTGTGAAGTGCTTCGAGATGACCTTTCACACTGAAAGGAGTTGTATCAAATGCAAGGATTATAATAAAACATTGCTACAACTACAATTTACATTTATAAAGTGCCTTTCACATTGAGAGGCCATCTCAAAGCACTTTGCACAGCTGATAGGAAGATATTTCTTAACAATATTAAAACACATATTTGAGGTAAAAAGCATATATTGCACCAGGTTTCTTGAATAGTTGAAAAGAACTGAATACAATAAAATCTAATTGTAGGACATGTGGAAAATTAAAAGCTCTAACCTTGTATCGTTTTTAGATGTGGTGCAAAACTACAACAGTAATTCATACAAAAATAATTGAATCTCTTTAGATTGGCCAGGCCTTTCACATCACTTTTGATTTCTGGTGTATTTTATTTTGATTAAGTACAGAATCATTTTTTTCTGCTAAATATTTTTTTTTAGAAAAAACTGACTTCAGTGATTTTAAGGGTGTCGTTTAACAAAAATACAAATAAAAATTGAGATTCCAAACAACCCTTATAGATCTTTTTAAAAAGCAAAATTGTGTTGTTTGCACCAGGGATGGAAGGTGGAAGAGCATCTCTTTAAGTTTCTGTTACAGCTAAGGCAATTCATTCTGGCACTCTGACTGGAAGAAATCAAGGTAAAGATATGAGATTAATACTATTTGGTAATTGCCTTGCTGTTTATCCTAATTCAACAATAAAACATTCTCTTCAATGTCATTTGCACCAAAACAAACCTCAATAAAAATTGGAGAAGCAATTTTGAATCTCTTTTACTATTTCTGAGTGAATTCTTTTAAGGAATTTGGTTAAAGTTTGAAATGTTAAAAGTTTCAAGTTTAGTTATTTAATATCCAAGTCACAAAACACACGAATAGAACATAGACAGAAGATTCGCTTTAGCAGAAAAGGTTAATTAACCTTTACAGCAGTTAAATGTAATTTTAGGTTTTCATTAACTTGTCATCCCTTAATTCTGGAAATCTTCCAGATATTTTAAATTGGAAAGCAAGATGAATGTACATTTGTTAGTTGCATTTTTCTTTAGAAGCTGTGTGAAAGTCTTGGATTTTTTGTCTTCATGTATGATACCTATGTTTATTCACGGGATAAACTGCATTTATTCCAGGCTTCTGAGTCATCCTTGCATAATACTGTAGACATTTTTGTCATTTTACTGTACTATCATCATTTAGCACTTCTAAATTGGCTTTACATGGTCATTTTACTCTCCTTTTTCTTTGTTTATTAGGCTTGTTGATTTGGATTACAGTATATCAAAATTTGCATGTTTTTCCAATAACACTTTATCACACTGATTTCTTTACAGTGAGGACAATTTCCACCTGTTGGTCCGGTAATCTGTTGTTCCACAAATACTAACATTACTTTCTAGATCTGTAATTTTATTCCTTCTTCCTAATGTCAACAGCCACCTTAGGACAAACTGACATGCTGATCTAGCTTTGCTTCTGTCTACTGGTGTTAGGGACAAGCCCAGCTGGAAGAAAGGCTTATTTGTCAACATAGTGTAAATATACAATTGAAAGTAGGCCATGGAACCCCGACTTTTATTAGTACCTGGAATGAAATGTTATTGCTATATTTACAAATGGACAGTTGGGTGTACTTTGCAAATAATGGAAAAAAAATAGACACACACTACACACATCAATTGTAGTGAGAAAGAAAATGAAGAGAGGTGACTAGGGAATGGAACAGGTTGCAAGATACAAAGTTGATATAAGAATCCCTTCTTTGACAGTATTGTATTCTGTTATTGAGCCAGAAAGGTAATCCTAAGATTACCATCAATGTTCATCATAGAGGGAGTGTGGAGAAACAACCTTGAGCGGTTGAGGCTTTCAACTGAATTATTCAACACTTCAGCAGAATCTTGCCTGTCCGAGTGTTTATATGGTACAACACAGAACATCTAGAACTCCATACATAGCTATTCCACAGCTAATTGTCGTAATGCAGAAGAACTTATATCAGTCAAAGCTATCCACTGACTTCTGAGTACAAGACTTTAAAAAAGGAAGACCATATCAGCGAAAATTGGTCCTGGGCTAAGTGAACAAGGATTGCAATATCTACTCCAACTGGATCTCTTCCCCTCCCTCCACAATTTACGCTAAATTCGAGTGTAAAGGGATTTTAACTGGTGACTCAAGTATACAGAATTGGGGGTTAATTATTAATTATAATACTTCCATTTGAAATAGACCCTTATCACATTATTAAAATGACTCAAAGCATCTTCGTAGGACTTACTGTAAAGTGCAGTGACTGCATATTTATAGGTAAAGCCAATGATGGCCCTAATCTTCTTTCGGGATAATTTGCATCAATATCAAGCACTGTTTAATGTGAGAATAGGGGAACACACAAAAAAAAACTTGACAGCATAGCTTTCCTCCACAGGGTAGGTGGAAACTACACTGCCATCCATATATGGAATAATCTAAACCATTGTCTTGGTTTAAAATTATATTTAGTCATTCTATTTCAGTCCTGACAATATTGTGCTTTTGTGTCCTATCTCACTTCCATTTTAATGTATATTCTGTTCTTCATCCTGTGCTCTGTGTCGTAGCAGAATATATTACTCAGTTTTCAGTCTGTGACAGTTTATATGTCAGTACCAATTTGACAATGGATGTGCACATTTGTAATAAGTGTCATGGCATTCTAACATGCATTACATTTCTAGCAGTTTGTCTAACAAGAGGGGTATTTGTCACTTTCTTCTGTCTAGGATTCAAAAATGATTCTAATATATGTTGCTGAGCTATAATTACAGTACTGTACAATGTTTTGTGCATATGGTTTCAAAATAAAATTAATTAGAAAAACATGATCTGTTATTATTTCCACTCAAACTAAATGGGTATCCATTCATATCATGTGTTCTTTATTTACACCATTCTTCGTGGAGCATTAGAATCAAAGGAATTATAGCACAAAAGGTCAGTCAGCCCATCAAATCTATGCTTTATATTTTCTCGGCCAACGGACCTATCCACTCTAATCCGAATTCCCTGCTCTATTCCGATCTCCTTTTATATTGTTTCTGTTTAATACTTATCTAATTTCTTTTGATCACATTAATAAACGTAAATATAAGTTCTGCCACATTAAAAAGCCTAATTAACATCCACATTTCACTGGGGACCTTAGTTTGCACTGAATAGAATTCACATCAATCTACCGGTCGTTCGTGGAGGTTCTGGGGCCTGAAGGAAAGGCTTTAGTAGCAAAAGCAAAAGGTCTTGAATAACAAGAACTGAAGAATTCAAATAAATAATTTTTTTCTATTATGAATATAAGGTTCACAGTTGTAATGCAGAACAAAAAAGTATTACAGCATACATGATACTCAAACCTGTATACATGGGGCTGACACTGGGGTTGCAAGATCACCTAAATCAGGAATTCCTAGACTATTTAATCAATATATTATAAATAAATGAGAAAAACTAAATTATCAGATGAAGATGTTGCTGTAGTTCTATTCAGTTTTAAAAATCCAACTTCTTCGATTCCAATTTGCTAGTTGTCAAACTCTGTTAATCGTAATGTCAAAATGATAATTAAAATTGCCTTGTAAATCAGCCGTGATGAATTTGGTCACTGTGTCAACTTGGAATTCAGAGAGAACTGCATGTACCAGTTTCATGGTTACACACTGTTTTACACTTACCGCTTTGATATCATTGTACCCCAAATGACTGGATGCAAAGCTGATGACAGTATATCACATCTTAATTTGTAGTGGTCTGTTCAGTCCGTTGATTGTATGCATGATTTCTATATACAGACCAATTATAAAATGCCATTACTAATCTTTTCATATTAATTCTCTGACTTTTAAATCAGCGATCTTGATTAATTAAGGAGGGAGATTGAAATTGTGTTTCTTTGTCAGATGATATTGAAGTCAATTCTAAGACTTGCAGTGTGCAACACGTCGTGGTTTCTCCTCTTAGAAGTTAGAAAGCTTTGTGAGGTGTCAGACACTTCCTCTTTCTGTGTGTTGGAGATAGCATGAAATAAGACGGTAAGAGAGAGATGTGTTCATTTTTCTTCCTTCTCTTGCATCTAAAGTCCTTTTTAACAGCAGAAAGATTAATTAAGAGATGATAACGTTTATATAATTATAAAATTTTAAGTACCAGAAACTGGTAGTTATCAAATAAAATTGAAATATGAAATGTTGATGCTGAATCTCAGAGCAGGCTGTTTCAAAGTTAGTAGATTGTATACATTTAGTTGATTTGGTTGATCATTTGTTAGTTACTAAAATGAACGCTTGGTTATCGTAGATATAAAATAAAGATTGATTTTTAAATCCATTATACAAAACCAGTAATTCTAAAATATTTCCAAATCTAACAGACGTATGGCTATCAGGATAGCTATACTTGGGAAAATAAAAG